ATTTGCACATTTTCTAATTCTTCTTACTTTCTGGGCTTTATGGATTGGAGGAATAAGTAGGTCAAATGTTTACACAACTAGAATTTGGAGGAGGATCAATGTGCTTTAAACCAGAGGCATTTTCATATTAAACCCCATCAAAATACACTCCAGTATATGAAATAAATAAATAAATAAACAAATAAATAAATAAACTAGTGGATCAGAGAGGCGATACTGCCTCCGATTATTGTACCACCAGCTAAAGTAAGAACATTCGTGAAGAAATCAAAAAAAGGGACACTACCTCCAGTGTAGTGCTTGACAAGCTCTTCAAAATGCAGTACATAAGAGTCCTCAAGTGTAACATCTTTTCATAATATAATAAGTTAGGTCTGTGTAGTTTCTGAAAATCGGCACAAATACCCTTTTCTTTTTTCAAAATTCCCATTAAAATTTTTTGGCCTGTTTGACCTTGAATTGAAGGTCAAGGGTCAAATCCAAGGGCATATTTGAAATCTCCACACATGACTTTTGATCAGACATCAACACAAATTTTTCCAATAATTCCTTCAGTTTGGGAGATCTTTCGGATTTAATTTTGCAAATTTTGGAATTAAATCCAAGAGATGGGTACGCAGGCTCTTGTAGTCTAGAAGAAGCAGCAATAGTGAGATGGTGGCGGAGCCGGCAGATACAGTGGATGAGACAGGTTGGAAATAATACCATGTGTACTGCCAGCGACAAAGCTGGTGGTACAATAAATGAAACAAATTCAAGAACGTGTCATAGCTGTAAGGAAGAAATATTTTCCCTTGTTGTCATCTAGGACTCAATGGGTATCGAGTCTTAGTTGTCATCCAGGTTTAAGACCGTATTGCATGTAATGTTCACAAATTATATTACTAAGCTCTATTAGTAACATATCAAATACTGCTTTCGCTCTATATGTTATACACTATTATCATCAACTTTACAATGAGGTTTAAAAATGTCACTATCATACAAATAACTTGAAATATCCAGGATAATTTTCAGGGTGTAAAATGAATTAGATTTTTGTTCTTATAGCTTATTAATAACTTTGTCACTTTGGGTTTATCAGATCAATTTGCTTCATTGCATTGATGTGCTATCGGTGGAACACAATTAAATTGGGTCAACGTGAATTGAAATATCTGATTTGATATTTTTTCATCTTTTTATGCGGCAAGCTACAAATGCCACCTTACAATTTTGTAATAAAAATAATAATAATAATAAAGCTGATATGTTATTTTTTTATCCACATGCAAAAGTTCCTTTAAAAGGATTATGCTGGCCAAAAAATAACAATCCCTTAGGGAAAATTACTTTGCCAACACAGATATATTAGAAATTTTATCATCTTTAAAAGCATCCTATCCAAGATTCTCCTACCAAATCAAATCATCCTCAAAAAATAAGCAATTTTCTCCAACTCACAAATCAGGAAAATCCATTTTTGGCCAAAATGAACAGTTATTATGCAGTTATTATTCCTCGTAATTGTCTCCACTATTCACTTTCCAGCTCTTCAAAGCTACACTGGTATCTTCATTCTCTGGCTGCGGGCCCCCTCCTGTAGAGGTCCTGTAACCATTCTGTGGATTCTCTGAATTCTGTCCATCTCTAACAACACTGGTGTCCTTGTTATTTAGCATGTTTCCATTTGGTTCAACATTCTCTGTTCTCGCAGTGGGCACTGGTTCACTGTTGGTGCTGGAAGGTTGTTCCCCTACACAAGTGGTTTCGTATCGATTCTCTAGATTCCGCCTGGTGTTTTCGTTAACTGCATGCATGCTTCCATTTCGCAGAATAACCTCTGTTCTTGTGGTAGAAGCTGGTTCACTGTTGTTACTGACAAGATGTTTGTGTGTAGTCTGCGAATCCAGGTCCACATTGTCGGCTAAGGATGGCTGGGACTCGTACCCGTCCTGCTTGGATTGGCCACGGGTCATGCTGGGGTGAGGATCGTGAGACTGCTCACTCACTTGAACTGGTGCTTGGTCACTGACAATGTTACTATTGCTGGTCAATGAGTCAGAGGAGTTGACCGCTGGATTCTCTGAGAAGAAAAAATAAACATTTGGCATTACTGCCTGATGTGACACTTCAGTTCTAAGCCCAGAAGAGTTTAGCTTGATTTGTTCCCAAATCAAATATATATATATATGTGTAAAATTCAATAATAAATTGGAACATTTAATTATGAACAGAGAGAGAGAGAGAGAGAGAGAGAGAGAGAGAGAGAGAGAGAGAGAGAGAGAGAGAGAGACCAAACAATCGCAAAACCACCAGAAGCATATCCTCAGTATAGAAAAGCAATCTTCTACAGATGATACTTACCTGATGGTGCAGGTTGACCTGAGGTGGGCCCAACATCATCTACAAAACAAAATCAACCACAAGCTAAAAGGATTTCACCAACTTACATGTATTTTGTTTTTATCAATAATTAGGACTATATTGTTGAGAGAGAGAGAGAGAGAGACCAAACAATCGCAAAACCACCAGAAGCATATCCTCAGTATAGAAAAGCAATCTTCTACAGATGATACTTACCTGATGGTGCAGGTTGACCTGAGGTGGGCCCAACATCATCTACAAAACAAAATCAACCACAAGCTAAAAGGATTTCACCAACTTATTTTGTTTTTATCAATAATTAGGACTATATTGTTAAGCGGCTACCTTTCTCATTATCAAACAATTCAAATGTTATTTATTCAATAACATTTATATTATATGTTTAAAACATATAATATAATATAATATAATATAATATAATATAATATAATATAATATAATATAATATATTGTTAGATGGTCATGAATTCTGACATTCATGAAGTGGTCAAGATCAGTCACATGCAGGTTAGTGACAGATCACAGAGACCTTCTATAGCTGTGACTTATAGGTTTTTAATGGAAAAGGCCTGACACAGAGAAAGAGCCTGTGTTCATGCACTAGCTAACCGCTAGGATATTATGCCTTCTACCAAATGTAAGCATAAAAACCTATTTACCAGCCAAATTTGGACAGTCAACTTCTTCTTTATCTGATTAAACTTTTTAAAATGCAATATATAATGTGTAATTCATCCTCCCAGGGAGGGTGTTACCGTAGTTGTTGGGATGATATAAGAGTGGTGTCTTAAATTGTTTATTTCAACTAATCATCACCATCAGAATGAGTTGACCTTTATTACATAAAGTGCTAACTGGCCTTGAGGATTCCACATTTCCAGGACTAACCCTGCTGACACTACACTTAAAAATGTCATATTGTATACATTTGTGACTGGAGATAATAAAGGACTGTATCAAAATGCATGCCATGGGTTGCATTCCAAAGACCTGATCCTCTTCAGAAAATCCATCAAGGCTTATAATATCAAGGTTTGTGTAAAGTTTGTCGTATTATTCATGCTGCAGCAGCATATCATCTTATTCCTACCATATTTATTTCCAATCACACCTGAAAGTAATTGTCCATGTTATTTGTCTGCTGTGATTAATTCTCTTGTCTAACAACTCTTGTCTTTAGATCAGTCACACTAGAATTATAATTGTACATGTGCTCTGTTATCAAGTTGAGGATGGGATTATGCACTAATAGACAAGTGCAATTCACAACTTCTCCACAATGCACGCCTTGCCTGATACCACTACCAACATGTCCCCACATAATATTATATCATAGTTCATAATGTTATTATGCTGCCTATTTTCTTATTTAATACGTAATTGTGTTGCTTAATTATATTTGAACTCTGTGGTAAGCTGTATTTGTCCGATGATTGTTCTTTACTTGACGTAAAGCTGTAGGGTGCTTTCCCAGAGATTTAAATCGATCCAAAGATTAAGTTTTAGATCGACCTAACTCCCTGGGGGTTAACGCTAAATTGTAGTCTGCCGAGCAGGCACCATAGTTAATTACCCCCTTACAGCTTTTAGTAGGCGGGACAGATGCTTAAGCTGGCCAAGCTGACAGTAATCTAGTGAGACTCCCCACAGGGATAGATCGATCTAAAAATCTATGGAAATGGGGTGGTAGGCTATATGAATAAAGAAAAGTGAATTTGTATAGAAGCAAACTCTCAACTTTGTCATGATTTCAAATTCACGACCATTTAACAAAAACAGTTAATAATTGCATATGATTTACAAACTGCAATATAAGAAGTTACGGTACCATACAATATCATATTAATTTATTAGGAGTATATCGGATTGCTTTCTAGACTGGCACAATCAAACAATATACCTGATTGTCTGCCATTTTCAATATCTCTGTGGTTGTTGGATCCAACTGTAGAGGTAGCATCGGGATTCCTCCCCATCCGTGCACATATGTCACGTCGCTTGATGACCACATACAAAACCACACCAATGATTACTATTAATACAACACCACCTACAACACTTAGCCCTACAGTCACTCCCTCATTCACTTTTACAGGAGATGATTGTGTGGATGCATCTACTGTGACAGCATCAGCACTAGTACTGCATAGAGAAACATCTGAAAAGAGAATTTGTTCCACTTGTCTTTAACATTAATATTATGATAATTAAGGTTTATTTTGGTTCAAAGCTGAAGGACTGTGGAAGTATTCTATTTACATGTACTTGAATGAAGTCAAAAGTTAAAGATGTGTTGGCTGCATTCATTAGGTGTGTGAAAATTATCTTCAAGAGTTTCTTAATTGAAAGTAAAAGAGATAAACACGAATAAATGTTATTTTGGCTAGCAATTTGTAACAAATATCTGATTGAAAATTGAATAAAGCACCCTTTTTGATTTTGGAGCTGAGACGGCAGTTCTTTTGCTTTGACTTCATTCAAGTATGTGTGAATAGTATACTTCCACAGTCCTTCAGCTTTGGATCCAAATAAACATTATCATAATATTATGTTATTTTAACTATCATGGTTTAAATTTAAGTCTATTTATAGTTTAAAATCCTCATGGAGTAGTGTAAAATATGACTGGACATATGGAGTAATCTCCACAGTATTTACATACAGAAGATGATCACCTTGTTTTAAATTAAAGCTTCCGTTTTTCCAGTACTTTCAATAGACAAACATGCTTAGGGTATTGTAAGCCTTTATTATATAGCACAGTATATTAGTAGGTAAGGTGCTTTTGGCAAAGGCTAGCAGCATCCTTAGCCTAAGGCACTGATAAATATTTAAATATAGATGATCAGAAGTCTAGTTAGTGACACCATTCATAAGCAATACTGTTACTAATAATTGATATTTCCATTTCAAAATTCCCAGGGCATTCTGGCAGTAGGTATACCTATGACCCATTTCCAGAGATTAATTCAATCTACTTTAGATCCACCTAACTCCCTGGGGGTTCACGCTATATAGCTGTCAGCTGGGCGGACACCAAAGTTAATTACCCCCTTACAGCTTGTAGTAGGCGGGACAGACATTTAAGCCGGATTATCTGACAGTAATCTAGTGAGACTCCCCGCGGGGATAGATCGATCTATAAGATCTGGGAATACAGCCTTAGAGACTGTATCTATTAAAGGAGACACAAGTTTGTTAATACAGTCATTTACATGTATTGGTTAAAGCTCCATACCTTGACTGCATTTGTTATCCATCGTTTCATTGCCCTCCATCAACATGCATTCGCAGCTGAAAAATAATGAACATGTAATTAAAGAAACTAGTAATTTCATAACAACTTTCATAGTAACTGGTAATATTAAGAAATAATTATTTAAAAAAAAAACAGTAATTATTTACCAGTACAGAAAATGAACGCATTTACTTTTAAGGTAGAGTTCATAGCGTCACATAATCCTCCCTTCTCTTCTGTGTGTGTGTGTGTGTGTGTGTGTGTTATTTAAAAGTGATTTTTTCTCACATCTGATCTCACCCCCAAGAACTCCCAAAAAATGATAAATATTAATTTTTCAACATTAAAATGAAAATCTACATTAACTAATGATTAAAACCATATTAATCAATTCTCACTATTATTGGATAGCAAATTATTCCACTTATTAACTTACATTGATCTTTTTTTGCACGGTTTATTGTCCTCTTTGTCTGAAAAATAGCCCACACTGCACCATCGGCAACCTAAAATATACATGCCACTATCAGTAATATGTGCCACAATTGAGAGGTAAAACTGAATCTCTTTTGTTGAAAAAAAGTACATTTTCACTCAATATTTCAGATAAAAAATTAACGAAATGCTAAAAATGCCCTCGTCCATGTTATAGAGACATTTGGGATATGACTGCACTTTTAATGGAAATGAAGAAGGATGGGAGGGAGGGTTACAATGGAAAAACTTTGTTTAGCTCAACAAATTTGCCAATTGTTTAGCTCAACAAATATAAAACAACAATGGGGAATTTCATTTATTCTTTATCAAAAATATGTAGGTCACAGGGCTGAAAACATTATTTTTCTTTGTTTTTTTATACCTGGCAGTGAACATGCTTACTATGTATCTCTTGGGCTGGCAGTTTTATAAGAAATAAAGTTTAAAAGCTTAAAGTTTAAAGTTTAAAAGCTTTCATAAAACATAAAACACATACCAGTGCAGATATAAAAACTAACTGCATGTTATCGATTTGTGACAGCAAAGCATGAAAACAGTTATGTAGCTAATAAAACTATTTACTGGCATTCGTTAAAAATAAAACAAAAATTAATCTTGATTATATCCAACAGTCTAAATGTCAAAAATTTTAGCACTCTTAATTATTGAATATACATTCTTTTTTCTTTGTTATATGTAATTTATCATGTAAACAATTTCTATGTGTTACAGCATAAAAATAAATGTAAAATGCCCAAGGAAGTTAATTTATAAATCAAAATTTTTAATTATCCATTCATTACCTGTTACAGTAAATATATTGCCATTTACTTTACATTAAGTTTTTAAGTTTCTGTTTAATTAATGAGACGTTATACATGAAATATATCAGCCAATCAAATCTGAAATACCCGGACATTTTCGCGAGATCGAGACACGGAAACGACCGAAAAGCTCCGACTTCACTGACCATCTCGTTCCGGTTCCTGTCCTGGCGGACAATTATTTACCAAACACTCCTTTGTTATCAGCTGGTTGTTGGAATTTTTATAGCCGGGAAAGCAGTCGCCACACTCAGAGTTTGAAGTCGAGTTTCCTGCGAATTTGGTGACTCTGAAGAGCTTGTTGCAGTCAACGCTGTAAATTATACATTATAATAAAAAATTATTCACATCATTATTATAATTACTCACTTAATTTAGTTTCTAATCGCATGAGATCAAACTTCACTTGATCTGCTAGTATAAATAGTTAGAATATAAACATAAGGCCTGCAAGAAAATCAATTTAAAAAGCAATACAAATCGAACAAGGCAATAATCATGTTTTACCCACTGCGCCGTTCTTATAAATGTAGATTAAACACTGGTACACAGCAGGGCAACATATAAATAATTCAAACACAAAACATAAATGATCGACTTTCGTATTAAAATGGATTTTTTATATTAAAAGTAAGACTAAATAAATAAATATCCAAAATTTATGAAAAAAATTACTTCGGGGTGCAGCTCCCACCGCCCGTTGCCAGTGTAGTCGTGGTCTCTTGCCTTGTGCCCGTCTCACATGGGTCACATGCTGAGGAATACGGGTCGCCCTCCTCACAGGCCACTGCCTCCTCTCCTGAAAACAAAATAAAATATTCGAAGCTTGAAGTCGTGGGGCATCCATTTTTCTTAAATTAAACTTCATGTAATTTTGTTGGTAAATATCGTCACAGACAGCTGCCTTCTGTATTAAAAACAAAAATATACACAAGCTTAAAGTCGTGGGGCATCCATTTTTCTTAAATTGAACTTTATGTAATTTTACTGGTAAATATACCGTCACAGATATCTGCCTTCTGTCCCGAAAGGAAAAATATCCACAAGCTTTAAGCCATGGGGCAACCAATTTTTCTTTAATTGAAATTCATGTAGCTTTGTCTAAAATAATCAGCCCAATACTTCGACTATCAATGACGGACCTTTGAATGCAGAGTTTTATCAATGACTCACGGAATTCAATAAATGAGTAAGCGAAAGCCTAGGCCGACATATGGAGAAAAGCAATAAAAAAAAAAGAGAGAGAGAACACGATCAAATTAGCCACTTGAAAATGTTCAAGTCAATAATTTGCCTACGGAGTCTTGAGAGGGATAAATTTGGCAAAAAAGAAGAGGGGTATTCGTGTAAAAGTATGATGGTTTTATGGCTGTAGGCTAATCTATGACTTAATTACGAAATATTTTAATTATAGAAAATAACCAAATTCATGAAAAAACTGTTTTGCTAGGGGAAAAAGGAACAAATTTAAATAAATGAAAACAAACAGAGAAACAAAAATATTGGCTACTCTCTACCTCTCTCAATCTGTTACAAAGTCGGCAAGTTCAGATGTCAGTAATGTGCAAAGCTTTCCACTGCAAATTAAAAAAAAACAGTTTTTTGATGCCTAATATCACATTAAGGCGTCATATTGGCTTTGAGTGACACTGCTAAATATATCTTGTGAGACATCAAACTGAGACATTGGCCAGGGGCGGATCCAGTTTTTTTTTTTTTTTTTGAAGGGTGGGGGTCCGGGGATGCAAAGCCGACCCTCTTTCCACCCCCTTGGTGTGGGGTCCAGGGCCCGCTGAAGGTCCCAGAAAAGTTTTAGCTATTCACAAGGGCGAACAGTGCCATTCAGCTAGTTAAAATTTTGATTTCAAGAGGGGACCATTGGTTTGATTTTTTTCAGAAATTGAAGGGGTTTTGGTTCAGGAACCCCTTGCCCCCTCTAAATCTGTTGGTAAAGGGTTACAAAATTGGTTTTAAAAATGACTCTGGCAGATTTTGGCGTGCAGAAGGTTTGAGACTCAGGGTGCCCTACCTGGACCACAAGTTATATCTTGGCAGCAAACTTGTATCATGGTCATTTCATCTCCCTTCCGTCTTTTCCTGTTCGCCACCACGAAGCCATTCTCACATTGTAGGCCGCTTACTCCAAGACTGGTCACAGAGAACATTGCGACAGCCAAAAATAAAACCCTTAAATAAACAAACAAATTAATTGATTCCATAGTCCAATATGTAAATGTATGCACAAACAAATTAAGAAATAAATAAATTTAAAATGTGGATATCTGAATGAATAATTATATAAGATGATTAATGATGAAGTGATTAAAAGATACTTAAAGTTATAATTATTATGAACATCTGCCTTTTCTCAGAAATCTAAATATTTCTGTTACAAAAAAGTTTGGGGCGAGATATATTTAACTCATCCAATAAAGATAAAAAATTGAAACATTAAATAAATTGAAAGAAGAGAATAAAACACGTTTATTTAACCAGGTTATACTATTTTACCACTCGGATATACCAAAGCATTGTGGGATTCTCGATAAACATACGTTTTCAGTACTGTCAATACTAACAATACTTTCCATAAATTATTGCTTACAGGTTCAAATTTTTGTTCAAACAAGACTTGCCTTGGAAGAAATTTTTTCATTGTTGTTTGAAGCCATGAAAGGTTGGCCGTTTCGATCTATTTCCGACTATATAGTCTTAAGCGGAGTGTTCGATGCACTGGAGGGCCGCACGGGTCGCGAATCTCTGAACGTCCCTGAAACTTAAATAATTCACATTCGTTTCTATACGTATCATTATGAAAAACTATGCAGCGCCTCGAAGAAATTAGGCCTACTTAAACACTGGCTCTTTCTATATTCTGTG